AGATATGCCAGGACTCGACCCTAATGTGGCAATGCACCGCCTTGACATCAAGCCGGATGCCAAACCTGTCAAACAACAGCAAAGACGGTTTCGTCCGCAGATTATGGAAGCCATTGAGGCAGAGGTTAAGAAGTTGATCGATTCGGGATTTATCCGAGAAGAACAACATCCAGACTGGTTAGCCAACATCGTTCCCGTCATGAAGAAGAATGGCAAAATCAGGATTTGCATCGACTTCAGGAACCTGAATGAAGCATGTCCAAAAGACGATTTTCCTCTCCCAATCACGGATGTCATTATCGACAATACATGTGGATTCGAGAGGATGTCCTTCATGGACGGCTTTTCGGGGTATAACCAAATCAAGATGCACCCGGATGACGAGAAGCATACAGCGTTTAGAACACCCCTCGGCGTCTTCTGCTATACGGTGATGCCTTTCGGTCTGAAGAATGCCGGTGCCACATACCAGCGAGCGATGACTAAGATTTTCCAAGAACATCTCAGGAAAACAGTCGAATGCTACGTTGATGATTTGGTTGTGAAAAGCCGCAACAAAGAAGATCACATCAAGGATTTGAAGACGATGTTCGATCTCATGAGGAGTCATCAATTGAAGATGAACCCCACTAAATCATTCCTTGGAATGTCCAGCGGAAAATTTCTTGGGTTCGTCGTCACCACTAAGGGTATACATATCGATCCTGATAAGGTGAAGGCGATACATGAATTGCAGCCCCCGAGGAATCTGAGAGAACTCAGAGGATTGCAAGGGCGTTTAGCTTACATCAGGCGGTTCATCTCAAATCTCTCTGGGAAGTGCCAACCTTTCTCTAAGCTAAACAAGAAGGGCGTGTCATTTATTTGGGACGACGCCTGCCAAAAGGCACTCGAGGATATCAAGACATATCTGACAAATTCTCCTATTCTTGTTGCACCAAAATCAGGTAAACTGTTCTTGATTTACATCAAGGCGATGAACCATTCGATAAGTGCTTTGTTAGCACAAGACGATGATAATGGTCACGAACAGGCAGTTTATTATTTAAGTCAGACTTTGGTGGGCGCTGAGTCTCGATATCCGATGATTGAGAAAGAATGTCTCGCGTTGGTGTTTGCAGTGCAAAAGATGCGGCATTACTTAGTGGGACAGACGATCTACGTTATCTCCAACGTTAATCCAGTACGGGTGTTTATGACGCAACCGGCCTCTATGAATTGGCGGCTAGCGAAGTGGGCCCTTCTCTTGTCCCAATACGATTTGCACTTCAAGCAGCAGAAGTCGATAAAAGGACAGGCGATTTGTGACCTTTTGGCGGCAAACCCGACCACAGATACGGCAGAAGTATATGATGACTTGCCGGATGAAACCCACGAGGTTAACACCACATCACACCAACAAGTATGGCAATTATACTTCGATGGTGCCTCAAGGGCAGTTAATAGAGTAATAACCCCGGGATGTCCTACAGTTTCCTCTGGAGTTGGAGTCGTCTTAATCTCCCCTGGAAAGCACGTGATGCCTCGGGCTTATTCGTTGACTAGTCCGTGCTCCAATAATGTTGCCGAATACAACGCGCTTCTCATTGGACTCAGTTTCGCCAAAGAGCTGGGGGTCGAATATCTCGAAGCTTTTGGAGATTCGCAATTGATAGTCAACCAAGTTCGCGGTGAGTATGAAGTCAGGAATCAAGACCTGATCCCGTACCACCAGGAAGCCATCAAAATGGCAGAATCTTTCGAAGAATTCTTCATCGAATATATCCCTCGTCTCCAGAACGCTTATGCAGACGCACTGGCGGCACTAGCAGTATCACTGGCACAGCCTCCCGAAGCTGAGCTGTTAGTCACAGTACGGACGCATCAACTCTGCGTACCCATATACAGTACGGAGATTGAAGAAGAAGAGGATAGAAACGTGAACGCCAAAGAGGTGAATTCAACTCAAATTGGGTCTGAGTCCCGAGATTGGCGTTTTCCCATCATTGACTACGTCCAGTATGGTATTCTGCCAGAAGACGTAAAAGAAAGGGAATCAATTCGCCGAAGAGCGCCAAGATTCTTTTATAATGCCGAGACCCATACGTTATACCGTAGGGGATACGATGGTTTATTACTCCGATGCCTTTCGAACAAAGAAGCAGAAGAAGTTCTTAAGGAAGCGCACGAAGGAGAATGTGGTGCGCATCAGCCCGGTCCCAAACTGTATGATCGCATCAGGAGGATGGGATATTTCTGGCCAACGATGGTTCGTGACGCAATCGAATACGCATGAGAATGCCACGCTTGCCAGATACATGCAAATTATATGCATCAACCGCCAGAGCAGTTGCACACATCAATCACGTCATGGCCGTTCGAAGTATGGGGCACGGACATTGTTGGTCCTATTTTTCCCCCTTCAGTCAAAGGCGATCGATTCATTCTAGCGATCACAGATTACTTCTCAAAGTGGGCTGAAGCAATTCCGCTTAAAGAAGTAAAGACGAACAACATCATCAATTTCATCAAGCATCATGTCATCTACAGACACGGCGTGCCAAGAAGGATCATTCATGACAACGGTCCGCAATTTATAAGCAACGCCTTCATCAGATTTTGTGACAAGTTCAAAATTGAAGACATTTCATCAACACCTTATTATCCCGCCGCGAATGGATTAGCGGAGGCGTTTAACAAGACGATCATCAAGATCTTGTCAAAGCTCGTGAAGACCAATAAACGAGACTGGGACGATAAACTCGGTGAAGCACTCTGGGCTTATCGCACCACCATACGCACGCCTACGGGAGCTACCCCGTATTCGCTGGTATACGGATGTGAAGCTGTGCTACCGCTGGAAATTCAGATTCCGTCCCTTCGGATCGCCCTCGCAACGGAGATGACGACGGAGGAAAACAACATCAGAAGCGTCTCAAAGAGCTCGAGAGGCTGGATGAAAAGCGCTTGGAAGCTCAACAGCAAATTGAATTTTACCAGGCCAGGATGTCTAGGGCTTTTAACAAAAGAGTCCGACAGAGAAGCTTCAAGGAAGGAGATCTGGTCCTCGCTGCTCGCCGACCAATAATCCTCACTTCCAAGAAGAAAGGTAAATTCGAACCCAAATAGGAGGGGCCATTTGTGATAGACACAGTCTACTCAAACGGCGCATATCGCCTGATTACGCCAGAGGGCGCCAGACAATTAATGCCAATAAATGGGAAGTTCCTAAAAAAATACTATCCTTAGTACATTCAGGATAACCCATTTACCGGGAAGTTCCTCGAAGAATACTACACTTAATATTCTAGAGGATAACCCAAAATCTTTTTCACCACCAAAATCCCTCACTGATCAAATGTCTTTCTGGCCCTCTTGATTCTTTCCATGAACAAGAAGTCCACTTTCATTTCAGAGTCCCCTTTCGATAAACGAAAGAACTCCCTCCCTTTTCTCTTTGGTTAAGCCTTCTCATGGTTGTAACCAAAGCTGAAATTTCATTTCGATAAATGAAAAAAACTCATCTAGATAACCAATCCTATAAAAGGTAAGCTTATTTAGATCTTCCGGATTCTCGGAGTGGAGATCCCACTTTTAGTTTCTTTCTCGCACTGGAAATAGAATATAAAATTCTTCCTTTCCAGAATCAAGGAATAGAATATAAAATTCTTCCTTCCTTGTTTGGGGAACAGAATATAAAATTCTTCCTTCCCACACCAACTCTTTTCCAAGAATTTAGGATTCATCTTAGGAAGTTTATCCCGAATCCTAAATAGGGATAAGTCTGCGCCTAACACGCGCTGCCGGTTTAGTCTTTCTCCGAGGAAAAAGACACCAGACTTTGATTCTGGGGTATGTTATCCTGAAACCTATGCAAGGTTAAGTCTGCGCCTAACACGCGCTGCCGGTTAGTTCTTAACCGTTAAAAAGAACACCCTTCCGCATATTCAACATTGTGGCAGGTTATTATTAATAACACCAAAATCCATGCCTTACACGCATGGGGAATTTCATCCTGAATCCTAAGAAAGGATATGCCGACGCCTAACACGCGTCGCCGGTTTAGTCTTTCTCCATAGAAAAAGACACCAGAGTTCGATTACACGTGTCGCCGGGTAGCCTATTCCCGTAACAATGGCGAAGTCTATGTATTCAATATCATAGCACAAAGTCTCAGAGAATTCACTCTCTTAGCACAACGTTTACATGCGAACGGATTTAGACAATCCGCATGCTAGCCCGACTCAAACGGTAGTCGGTAAATGCTAATCAAATCCGTTAATGGCTGAGGGTTTGCTAAAAATCCTAAAAGTATTATGGTCAATCATCTCAAACGAAATGAGGAATCATAATAAAGATAAAGATAAAAACCAGTTCCACTAAGAAAATCAAAAGTCAGAGTATTCAGCAAATAAAATCATACATCAAGTGCATGGTCAAAAATCTGCTGATTAAGCTTGGACAGCTTCTCATCATAAGCTTGTCTAAGCTCAGCTCTGATGGACTCCTCGGTGGTGGCTAAAGTTTCCGCAGCAACCTCCTCCGTCTCAGTCAGCTTCTGCTCCAAAGATGTCAACTCCTCGGATAAAGCAGCATGGGCTTGCTGATCCTGTGCCTTCGCCATCTGTAGAATGCTAAAAGTCTCCTCTTTTTCACGGAGTGTTCTTCTGAGCTGGTCTATCTCGGTCGCACAGGAGGCAAGAGAAGAGTCAAGCTCGGTGAGTGAAGATGATCTAGCAGCAAGGTGGGCCTCAACTCGGTCCACTCGATCCCGCTGCACCTGAATGTCGAACTCAGCAAGAAACCTAGCATCGTTGGTCCCATAGCCGGCTCAACAGGGTCATTCTCAACAAAAACTCCTATTAAATACAAGTCGGAATTCTCAGAGGCATCACATTATAGCTGCATTAGTCAAAATTGGCTAGTCCTATAATTAATTTGGGAGGAGGCATATACCTTCGAAAGAATAATCCTCAAGATTCTTATCGAACGTAGGCTCAGAAAATATATCTCCGGGTAACTGGCCATCAAATTGAGGAGAGCTATACATGAAGTGGAGTGTAGGAGTCTCCGCAATCAAGCCTTCCTCGTCAAAATCATCAATAGAGAAATCTGACGTAAAAGAATATAAGTACCAAAGAAGAATAAAGAGACTACAACCAACAAAAATGAGTTACCCCTTATGGATGCGTTAGCCTCTTTATTCCCAAAATCCACGTATGCCTCCTGCAAGTTATCTGAAGAAGCAAGATGTACAGAGATGATTAGAGGATGCACAAATTCTTTTGTATACCATCTAAAAGATACATTGTCAATAGTAGATGTACCTGGATCTGCGGAATCAGGTCCTACATTGCTATCCTCCCTAATGTCGGCAACCCCTGTAGGCCTTTTTAACTGGGGCAGCGGGTCAGGCTCACCAGGAGACACAGGAACGGAATCGGGACTCATTTCGCTCTCTCCACGCTCTCCTATATAGAGATGGAAAAGCATGAGTCAATGTTCCGAATAACCAAGAAGGTGGTTTACAGAGTAGATGTTACCTCCGTCACTAGCAGGATCATCACCAGCCAAGTCCATATCAGATGCTCGGGAAGCTACACGCGGCTTGCGGGCTAATCTCTTCCGCCTAGCAGCAGGGACAATAATCGAAGGTCTCGCCTGGGAAGGGGGACGGAACTCTTCATCCTGGTCAACTGTGGTCCCTGAAACATCAAACCATAGTCAGTTTCAATATTTCTGGAAGATGGAAGGAAAAGATGGATAGCAAACCTCGCTCGGAAAAGTCTTCATAACCCTCAGGATCTCCCCCTAAAGCCTCGTCTGCGGAATGAAAGGTCTTCTTTCCCTCTTCATCAATCCGACGAGTCTTGTTCCGTGTCCGCGGAATGAAAGGTCTTCTTTCCCTCTTCATCAATCCGACGAGTCTTGTTCCGTGTCCTCTGTGACCAAGCACTGTCCCGGATCACATGAGAATCAATCTGAGAGGCTTCTTCGGCCACCAACTCTTCAATAGGCTTCACAGAGACAGTCTTATTAGCTGCTAACAACCACCGGCAGCTCAAGAAAGTGAGGTTCAACTGTCGCTCAGTACCCGGGAGGCTGAACCTAGCACCAGTGCAGCCTGTCACGGTCCACAACCATGCACGAAGACCGTCCACCAAACCTCCATGAGCCCGAAGCTGCAATCGGCAGGGTAGATATGGCTCTATAAAACACTGATTCCCCACCCGGAAAGTCAGGTAGCCCGGCCTGATGTTCACTAACCAATTAAAGCAGCCGATATCTAAATAATTGCGATACTCCCTCGGTTTCTCCTCATCAATCAAACATTCGCCATACCGGCTAGAGAACTGCAGAAAACAAATAGAGAACGCCTAGCACTTGTGGACCTGTAGCTGCCTCCTGATATCAGAGAATCCTCGCCCTTCCCACTCGCCATTCTCAAGCAGCTGTAGTAAGGGAACAAAGTGGTCCATGGCATGCGATACCGACATCATGTCAGAATGATGAAGGACGAACCAAGCCATCAAATAAATATACGGAAGCTCCACCTTAGTGGTAGGAATCTGAGTCGGCGATTCTTTCTCCTCCCGTGTAAAAGCACCGGAAATCTGTCGTAACCCTCGATGAATGTTAGCCACCATCACCAGAAGAAGGGAAAGTTCCTTTCTGTAGGCAAGTTGAACTGCAGGGTAGAGCACTTCCAGTGGCAGAGCGTCACCAGACTGATACGGGACCACGCATTTCTTTAACCAGATAGCGAGGTAACCGGCAAGAAGGGTCATCGGACGAATCGGCACAGTCGCATGGAATAAAAATGATCTGAACTTGGTCCCTGCAGGAAAGCCGCTCTCAGGACTGCTATTAGTATAGGAGCGAGCGTCAACCTTCTTCAGCAAATCATTGACCCCTGAAGGAGTAAGCGGTGCCAGTTCACAAATAGCTTCGCCAGAATTGCTTTCCAGATTCCTGAACAAATAAGATGCGAACTGCTTCAGGCTCACATTTGATTTGGTCCTCTTCGCTAGGGGCTTAGACTGCGCCAAAGCAATGTGATAGTGACAAGTGAGGTCCCATAAAGTCTCGTAACGGTCGGGCATGCGATCCTTCAGCTGACTCAATTCATGGTTGGAAGGAAAATACTCCTGGTATAACATCTGACCCATAGGCAGACCAGAAATCTTATGCATCTCATGAAGAGCCAAACCCAATTCTCCGTGCCTAGTCAGAAAGGTGTTCGAATCCGGATTATAAAGCTCGCATAAGGCAAAAAAATGCTTCGCACTAACGGGTAAACCATGCATGGTGGCACGAATGGCTGCATAAAGACCGCAAGCATGCAACTCCTCGCTCCATCGGCTCAAGACATACTTTGTCATACGAGCCCACCAAAACTTGTCCAAAGAATGGACCCAACCATAGAATTTGTGGCGCGGCGCAGGCATCTCCCGTCCCAAGTTAGCGAGACGATTCCTCAAAGTGGAAGCAGAGGCAAGGAACTCGTTACGAGGCGGTGCATCTAGCCCCAATACTCCAGGACGCAGTCCAACAATATGATTCCTGCTCGAACCAGGAACTGCCTGATGAGTAATGTAGCCGCAGTGAACGCTCTCATGCTCCTCTGTCAAACGCCACGACATCTCCCGTTTCACAGCCTGACGCCTGAGCTCAGTCAAAGAACGTCTGTGCCAAATGCACAGATCTGGTTGCCTATAAATAGGCGGGGGGCATTCATCATTTTGGAGGACTTTTTGGAAGAACTTTTGGAGAGCCGAAACTCTGCCGGATTGAGACCTCATCTGGGAGTTTTTAAAGCTTGAAGACTTGGACGTTCGGATCTGATTCTCGGTGAGCACCCGCATCACAAAAAAAGCAGGAGTTCGAGGGGATCAAGATCTCAGATCTACGTTGTTACACTCCGGATCAAAACTTGGTCTTTGATCCCGAGATTCGAGCGATTGTTTCCTTGGTGAAATAATCCCTCTGGCTATTATTTCCTTGGTGAAGTAATACCCGTTATACTGCGTAGATCTGTTTGGACCTAGATCGCGCGGTGGTCCACGACAAACAACCCCGGCGCAGGCAAACAACCCACCCAAGCGAGTGACCGAATAACAGGAGCTCGCGATTTGTTCGACAAAAGAGAAAAAGTTGTAATTTTTTTTTTAATTTTCTTTATTTTTGATTTTCATTGTAACCGGATCTAAAAAAGACCGGATCTTTTGTAACCGAAAAACTGTTATTCAAGATAGCAAAGGAATCAATGAAGAAAGCAACGATTTTTCCGGCGAACATGTATGGCTCTCCTCAGATTGATGACCAGTTTCCTGGAGATATATTTCCTGAGTCTACGCTCCCTAAGAATCCCGAGGATGGTTCTTCTGAAGGTACGAGGCTCTTCTCAAGTTAATTATAGGACTAGCCAATTTTTGGCTAATGCATCTATAATGTGATGCATCTGAGAATTCTGTTTTATATTTGACAGGAGCTTTTATCGAGACTGATCCTGTTGAGCCGGCTATGAGACCAGCTACACCAGCCGATACATCCACAGCCGTTACACCTCCACTACCCCCAGTGACTCAAGGGGAAAGAGGTATAAATTAAGCAGCTGAGAAATATCATTTATTTCCTCATTAAGTGCTTTTGACGAATTTCTCCTTTTTGTGCAGGGCTTTCTTCTCGGCTCCATGTCCTCGTGAAGGAGTTGTTATCGGACAATGACCCTGAGAAGATTGTCATCTGCATAGAAGTCCGCTCCTTCTTCTCCTTCGTGAATGCTATGATTGGCAAACTCTTCCACGGCGGACTTTCCCTTCACTAGTTTAAGCCATTCCTTGATCTTAAGATAAATTCAATAAGGGATGCAGGATACCCGGATCTGGTGAAGGCTATAGTTGATGATCTTGATTGCCTAGAGCATGAGCTTCAGATATTTCGCGAGCTCCGGGATGCAGGTGCTTCTTCATTTATTGCTGCCGAGTTGGATACTCGCTTACAGACATGGCGCGATACTCGGATCCTTGATGAGCTCGAGATTCAGGTGCAACGGGACCGGGTAGATCGAGTTGAGGCTAACCTTGCTATTAGGTCATCCTCACTCAACGAGCTTGATTCTTCCATTGCCTCTTGTGAGACCCAGATAGACCAGCTCCGAAGAGAACTTCGTGAGAAAGAGGAGACTTTGAGTATTCTCCAGATGACGAAGATACAGGATCAGCAAGCACATACTGCTTTATTTGATGAGCTGAAGTCCTTGAAGCAGAAGCTGGTCGAGACAGAGGAGGTAAGAGTCCATCAGAGCTGAGTTGCAGGATGAGCTTAGGCAAGCTTATGATGAGAAGCTGTCTAAGTTTAGTCAGCAGATTTTTAGCCATGGGCTTGATGTATGATTTCATTTGTTGAACACTCTGACTTTTGATTTTCTTAGTGGAACTGGTTTTTATCTTTATCTTTATTATGATTCCTCATTCTGTTTGAAATGATTGACCATAATACTTTTAGGGTTTTTGGCAAACCCTCAGCCTTCAACGGGTTTGATAAGCCTTTACCGATTACCGTTTGAATCGGGCTGGCATGCGGATTGTCTAAATCTGTTCCGCATGTAACGTTGTGCTAAGAGAATGAATTCTCTGAGACTTTGTGCTATGATGTCGAATACATAGACTTCGCCAATATTACGGGAATAGGCTACCCGGCGACACGTGTTAGGTGTTGACTTTAGGATTTTTGGCTAACCTCCAGCCTTCAATGGGTTTGATAAGCCTTTACCAATTACCGTTTGAATCGGGCTAGCATGCGGATTGTCTAAATCCGTTCCGCATGTAACGTTGTGCTAAGAGAGTGAATTCTCTTAGACTCGGTGCTACGACTTCGAATACGTAGACTTCGCCCTTGTTACGGGAATAGGCTACCCGGCAACACGTGTTAGGCGTTGACTTTAGGATTTTTGGCCAACCCCCAGCCTTCAACGGAGAGAAAGACTAAACCGGCGACGCGTGTTAGGCGTCGGCATATCCTTTCTTAGGATTCAGGATGAAATTCTCCATGCGTGTAAGGCATGGATTTTGGTGTTATTAATAACAACCTGCCACAATGTTGAATATGTGAACGGGTGTTTTTTTTGACGGTTACGAACTAACCAGCAGCGTGGGTTAAGCGTAGACTTATCATTGCTTAGATTTCAGGATAGAATACCCCAGAATCGAACTCTGGTGTCTTTTTCTACGAAAAAAGACTAAACCGGCAGCGCGTGTTAGGCGCAGACTTATCCCTGCTAAGGATTCGGGATAAACTTCCTATGATGAGAAAAGGTTGGTGTGGGAAAGGAAGAATTTTATATTCTATTTCTCGGTCTTCTTTTAGGGTGAAGGCGAACCCGAGAACAAGGAAGGAAGAATTTTATATTCTATTCCCTGATTCTGGAAAGGAAGAATTTTATATTCTATTTCCAGTACAAAAGAAACTAGGAGTGGGATCTCCATTCCGAGAATCTGGAAGGTCTAGATAAACTTACCTTTTATAGGATTGGTTATCTAGTCGGAAGATGAGTTTTTCGTTTATCAAAATGAAATTTT